TTTCCAAAATATACCTCCCTATACTTATTTTATCCTCTCCTTGGTGTTGACAAGCAACATTACTTGTACCTTTGCTGCAAAAGAAATAGGGTGTTACATGATTTGCAAGCTGATGGCTACACTCTCTATAATAAGAACAGACACAGAAAAATGTTATGCTGATAACCATCTTGAAAATATAGGGGCAGGAAAGCAGCTCTTCAACTTGTCATGCACATAAATTTGAAAAATCTGCATTATGAATGTATTTCACTTAGATGTTCTCAAATGTGGCTGGCTCCAAGTTCTAATTCCTCTGCTACTGGGCTGTAGGCTGTATCTATCTGGCAATATTAATAAATTTATCCTGGAAGTACAGAACTTACTTCCAGTGAAAACTTTGCAAATTGAATTATCTCTGCAAAATCTGGTATTTTCCACCAAAGACTACTGTGTCAATAAAGTCCCTTACTGGCTTAGAGTGATTGAACTGCTTAGCAGGATTGAACTGCTTAGAAAAAGGTCTTTTTAAAAATAATCAGATCACCAAATCTTTGTGTTTTACCACTATAATGGTAAACAGTCAGTTTGGAGAAACTGTTAACAGAGGGCTTTATGACTTTTTGAAAATTCAAAAATGACTTTAAGCAAAATATCAGGGTCACCAGAAGTCATAAAACATCAAAATTAACAAACACATCACTTTCCTAATGGTCGAAGGACCACTGTATGGACTTTATTTGGACCATTAAATGGATTTACTCTGAGACTTCTTAAGTTATTTGGACTCCTAAAATAACACAGAGCTTTTAGGTGGTTTGGGGTTTTTCTCTTCTCAAAATTAGCATAGCAATGGCATACATTCTTTCTCTAGTTTCTAGCTGGGAAAGGATCCAGTGGTAGGGACAACTCCAGTTGTATCCTGTTCAGTGGCAGAGCTGGTGGATCCAGCTGTCAGGATTAACCAGACTGGCGTTTGCCTTTCTTTGCTCTACCACCCAGCAGGGAAAGGGTGTGTCTTGTACTCTAGGTCTAGAAGTGGCTGCTTCTGTCTGAGTTGGATTTCTGAGGAGTGGAGTCCTGGATGGTCCTGGAAGTTAGAAAACTTTACAGTGGCACACAACAGGGCTGCCAGTAATGGCAGGAGGTGGAATCTGTGCCTCTGACTTCTGTTATACAGAAATAAAAATAATATTAAATAAGAAACCTAAGCATTCAAATTTTAAAATGCCACAGTGATTACCTCTGCAGTCTTAATTAAGATCTTAAATAATAAATAAATAATAATTATTGGTCACATTGTCTCCTAAACATAGTTTTAAATTACATGATTAATAACATGCTTTTTGTTCTAGTACTTCTGACTTGCTTATGTGTACAGGCTGTCCAGATGCAGGTGGAGAGCAGCTATTTAATATTCTTTTGCTCCACCATGCCCAAGTGTGGCTCTGTGCCACATGTTACTTCACGACAGTTGAAAGCATTTCCTGAAGACAGGTTGCCTAATTTCCTAATGGGCACCCTTATGGCATTCACTATAATGTGACACATCCACATTAAAAATTATTACTGTTTTATAGGAAAGAAAGTGACTCACAGGAAAAATAAAGTGTCCTTTTTGCTGCTGTCCATTATAGGCTACCTAAGGCTTCTTTTTTTTTTTTTTTTTTTTTTTTTTTTTTTTTTGTACTTAGCATTATCTATCAATTAATATTTTCAAAACAGACATCCTATTACCTTCGACTGCAGCTGCAGGTACCCAGTGCATTGGTGAATAAGCCCTTATGGTTTCAAATTGTGAATCCAGAAAATGAGGGAAAATAATACTAGTGCCCAGAGATCAGAGAGCATTGCAGTGGATTTCTGTTAGACACAAGTTCAGAATCCTTTTCTTCACAGCTGTTTTCAGTGACTTGAATCATCAGACTTCTGCAGTTTTTCCTTAAAACCATTTCTCATTCACTGTATCATTTTTTCCAGAAAATGAAGCAGTGATCCTGTAGGAAACAGCATATTCATGTAATGCTGATTCACACTCATCTTTTGGAATTTTCATCTTTTGAACTAAAAGAGGGAGGACAAATGAAAAAAAAAACAAACAAAAAACAGCAAACCAAAACAAAAAGCCCAAACGAATCCCACCCCAGTTGAAAAAACAAAACAAAGCAAACAACAGCCCACAACTTCAAAACTTCCTTTGGGGAAAGAATGGTCTGATCATGTAATTTAAAAATTCTGAGATCTGTATATTCAGGCTGAATTCCTGCATTTCTTTAGTCTTGTGTTCCATGCTACCACTTTAATTTCAAGGTTAATGGTTGTTCCAATAAAGCAATAATCACAAGTTCTCTAACTCATTGAACACCTTAAATCCCTTTATAACTGCATCTTTTTATCTTCTAGTTCACTATTACACAGCAGTGTAGAAAACTGTCAGAGGCAAGACTGTCGTGAGTTACAAACTTGTAAAATTGTTAATTCAAAGCACTGCAGGGAGTAGATCTTGTTAAAAATTTGTGTGATAGCTGTCAGATGTTTCAGAAGATGTAACGGTATTTTTCTTGAGCACATGTGTTCACAGTTTGAGATGGGCTCTTCAAAGCACAGCAAAGTTTTGCTACTGGCAACTTTCATGGGTATAAGTAATTTTAATAACAAGGTAGATATTTTCTTCTCTTTGTATCCAGCGGAACAAAGTCTGTTGACATTAGGACACAGAGTGATGGCTCCAAGGAGAGTGGAGATTTAACAGGGCAGTAGGGTAGCAGGCTATTTGGACTCAGAAGAGTAGAGCTCATGATTCCAGATCTGTAATCAGCTTTTATTGTTTCTCGTGCTGTGGCTAGGTAAGGCTTTGAATATGCCAAGAACAGAATTTCATTGAGAGAATTTTAATGGAAGGAGTAGAGTTGGATTTCAGTATCGTTCGACTGGTTTCATAACTCAGGAATCAAGTACAGAATGAGGTTTAAAAACAGGAATAGGTGGATTCTAGAGACTTTCTCACTATCTCCTGTGAATCTCTCCATATGACACCTCTGTTAATTTTGTAGTATATATATATGAATTTTTTTTCTGCATGTCTAAACGTTGGGGCCATAACTGCATAAAATATATCCAAGGCAGAAAAAAACCCCATGAAACACTTTTGTATTCCTAAAATTACTGTAATCATGTTACAGATCCATTCATAGCTTGCTAAAATAACACTAATTCATAACTCTCAATGAAACAAGACCACAAGTTACACTTGGTGCTAGTTTATATCCTTTGCGTGCTTCTCAGTTTGGTAGAGCCCACTCAGGTGATAAATTGTTGCAGAACTGGATGCATTTCTGGGTACACGTGTCTGGTTTTCTGACAAGAGCCTGTAGCTGCAAAGAACTCTAAAACCTGAGACTGAGATAAGAAAAAAATTCTTTTTTTCTGCTTTTGTCATGCTGTTGTGCTGGTTTTAATTAGAAAGTTCTGGACCATAGGCCAAATCTGCATTCAAGGATCTTATTTTTCTGTACCCCAGCCACGTGCAGCCTCTCTCCTGGTCTATCCTGGCTGTCACGCTGCTCCCTCCAGAGAACCTCTTGTCCCTGGTGCCATGGCACATTCCTCTGGCTTTCTGTTCATGGCAGAGCAGTGGCTGCTGCCCCTCTTTCTGCCAGCCAGAGCAGGGGAAAGTCTCCAGGAACCCTCAGAGGGTGCTGACAGCGGTGGGGTCTGCACAGTTCCTAAAAGGATAATTTATGGGACACTGAGTAGGTGAGTGCCAGGGGCTGTCTTTCCCCTATTTTCCAGCCTGTGAAATAGAGATGGGTTCCTGTTCTTCACAACCTTGCTCCTCCCTGGCAAAAACAGGATTCTCGAGTTCCCATCCTATTCCCAGAATAAATATTTATTTATTTACTTACTTATTTGCCGTGGAGGACAATTTCTTCATTCAAGACCAAGACAGGGCTTTGGGATTCAGAGCTTTCTGATGGTGTGATGTGTAGCAGGATGTTGAACAAGGGGGTTCAGACCTGACAGTGCCAGCACTGTCAGACCCTCTAGATATGTTACTTGAGAGTGGTCAAAAAAAAAAATCCACCCTCCCTCCCCTGCCAATTAATTCACTCCTGAATGAAATAAATTTGTCTGTGCTTTTAAGGTTTCCCTTTCAAGTGCAAAGAAACACCAGATAAAGCCTTGGGAAGGGATAAGGATGGGTGTTTTTTTGTAAAAGAGAAGCAGTTTGGACAATGATGGAGCTCAGCCCACAAGAACAGGAGCTGGCTGGATCTTTGGAGGCAGCACGGCAGGGAACATCTCTGCTTCTTTAGTTCAGGAGAAGGTATTCTCCTAAGCTGAAATGCTGGATTTAAATTTTCTCCTCCAATTTAGGGCCTTCAATAGGCTGATTGATGTTGTCCTGGTTCCTTTCCCTGAGCTCCTTTGATGTGAACAGCCTGTATTCTCCAGGATAAAATCCCGTCAGAGGATAAACTGACACGGACACATCTCAGTGTGAAACAGCGTTAATGTTTTTGTGATGTTAGTTATATGGCATAAAAACAGTGGGAGTGTAAGGCATTGGTAACTGAGCAAAGAATGTAAAAACTCAATAGTGGAAAAACCAAACACATCCTGGACTGCAGAACTTGCAAGAAATACCTATGAACCAACCATATTCTCTAGTCAGCAAAGTTACCTTCGAATGACAGTGCATTTTCAAACACACCATTTAGCTTTTGAATGCCCTTCAGAATATTACTGGTGGGTTTTCTTCTCCTGAAGACTACAGCAAGTTATACGTTTGTTTATCTTACTATTTTTATGCAGGCAAAACATCTGGTGCCATAAGCAGACACAGCACTCTTCAGAGTTGCTTAGTTGGTTTTAATTAGAGGAAAGCTGCCTGGGACAGGCAATGTTCTTCTCTAAGCATGGTTTCTGGTTTTTTTTTTCCTACATTAAAAAATAAAATCCATTTTTTCTGTTAAAACATTTGTATTTAATTTTTTAAGAATTACAAATAACAGGTGTCATACAGGTTTTTTTCTTAATATAAAAGCCCCACAATCTGTATTTCAGTATAAAATGATCATTGATTAATAAGCATCTTTGAAAACAGAAACCTGAATTTCTCAGATGAGCATGCATTCAAAATAAAATCACAACAGTCTGAAAGGATTCCCAATTTGTAGGGGTTTGCTTTTTTCTGCTTCCAGGGACTTCTACAGACATTTATCTCTGAGCATTCAGGCATTTAAAAATATTGTGGATTTTTTATTTTCTTTTAAATCATAAATGTTTGTTGACAGCATTGTGTGCTTTGAGTACAAGTTAAATATTATGGATGTGATACATGATATCCTTTATATCCTGTAGATATAAAATAGCACAACATTTACTTTTTCAAAGATCTGCCTTGTGTTGGAGAATAAAGGGATTTTTTTTTTCCTAAAATGGTCGTGTGTGGCCAACATTTGATTTTATTATTATTATTTTTTAGAGTATGTTTAGTTGAACGAAAGGTGGGAGGCCTGGATTTGAGTGTGTTTGTATGTGTGCATTAGGAAGGGTCTGGGGAAACTCCAGAACATGCAAGGTCTGCAAGTGCTGTGTGGCTGTGCTAAATTGTTACCATGACACTGAATAATAGTGAGGTGATGAGCTGAATTTCTAATGGCACTAATGGTGCCCAGCAATCCTTGTCTCCTGACAGTAAAATATGCAGAAGTATTCCATGAATAAAGCTTGTTTGTTAGTTTGTTTGTGGTTCTTTTAATGCATGGTGGTTGTCCTGCAGCTGAGTAAGGTGCAGATGAATAGTGCTGGGCAGGAAGCTGGGCAGGGCAATATATACTGGCTTTTTCACTACTGTGTATGTGGCATGCTTGTTTTAAGCTGTAAGGATTTTCTGAAATGTAACAGTAAAAATCAGGTATCAAGTCCCACGTGTTCTCCTCAGCTTCTGGGCTCCAGGATGTAACAGGAGTTCACCTCTGAAATGAAGCACTCCAGCCTTTTTTCTTTCCCAAAAAGTCAGGATCATTATGAGCTTTAAATTAAAGTTCCATGTAACATTTGGATAGATCACCTGATAAGATTTCCCATTTAAATCGCAACCTGCTGTCTTTTTATCATCTTATCTTCTACCTCCGTCATGACATTGGGCTGAGTAGCTTATATTACCTCTAGTGGTGAGTTACAGGAGGTAAGGAAAAATTGATACAGAAGGGTGGGAAGAGGAGATGTCTGGATAACAATGGAGGAGATCTGTTACTCTGCCACTGACTCAGGTTGCACCTGAAGGGTGAGAAATGCCATCTGGTGTCATCCCTGTCTGATAAAACTTCATAGTAGCAGCAAATGTTAAAACAGATTCTTCCTTTTTGGCATGTTTTCACTATATGAAGCAGTGTCTCATTTCAATGATTAGTGAGAAGACAACAGCTTTCAGACTTTCTCCAAGTGTGCACTTTTAAAATACAGAGTGTGGGACTAACAAATTAACTTAATATTTAAGTCTGCTACCTGTTTGTGAGAGTTTGGCTTTACCATTCTTATCACAGGTGAAAGTGCAGCTTCATCAGTGATATGGTGTCCATTCACCAAACAAACCAGTTGAGCAATATTCATGGCACAGCCCAGCCCAGCAGAACTACCCTCATTGGCAGGACAGAAAAAACCTCTTGAATGCTGGTATTGTGTGGCTGCATTAATCTTTGCAAATTAAGGCTTAATCAGCCTTCTCCACAAAGGATTTATTTATCATGACAGAACTAGTTTTTAAGACCTAGAATTGAAAGGGGTTGCTGCCCAAACAACAAATATGCCCAACCATATTTTCCCCAAGGTAGCACCTCCATAAGAATGTTTTGGAAAGGTTTGAACTAGATGGCAAATATGCAAGGTCTTTTTCCTCAGAACTAGAAGCAGTGACTTTGTGTGGTTTGTCACAATGACTCAGACTTGAAAGGCAGATTCATACCGTCTTTAACATCCCTACCAGGCAACAACAACTGTGTTAATTTTGGACAGAAAGTTGCAGGCTGAAATTTGCATGAGCTATGTTTGACCTAAAGCTGATTTCAAGAGCGTTATAAGTTCAGGTAAAGCACTTTATGAGGCTCATAGAAAAGATGTGCTTACAATGGCTGTTTGCTCTTATCATTTGGTGGATGCATTTCCTTGTGTAGTTTCTCTGAGGTGGAATTTGCTCAGCCTAAGGCTGGACAGCTGTTGCTGTTTGTGGTGACCTCAGCTAGAGTCACACCTTCAGTTCTTGTCCCTGGGAGAAAATAAAGAGAAATCTCATATGCCTCCTGAAAGAAAAGTGTATCTGTCTGAAAGGCAGGGCTTTAGGTTTTTCTCTAAATTAACTTGTGGAAGAAAAAAACCCCAAGTTTCACCTGCATTTGCAGAGAACAAATACAGTGTTTCACAAGGCTCACCATCACCAGCAGAACATTTTCTGGAACAACAGCTGCTGCTGCTGCTCCAGGGATCCCTGTTGGCTGGGAATGGCCAACAGAACTATGGGACCCTCATGGCCACTTAGAACACTCTTAACATTCCAGAAAATCTATTTGACTGCCTTTCACTAAACTAAGAAAATTTAGAGGGCCTGTAGTTACCTGTCGTACAATCTAAGAAGTTACTTTTTTTTTTTATGCCCTTAAAAAGGCATCATGCAAGTATCTCAGCAGACAAGTGAATATGAAGTGTTTGGACTGTGATGAGTCACAGAGGGAGGGAGGCAAGGATGGCTGTTGCTGGTGTGAAGTAAAAATGAAGTATCTTTAAGATAAATGTCCATTTACGAAAGGTCTAAAAGTTAAAGGTCACCACATTTTGTCTGATGTGATGTTTAGAATCAAAGCATTTCAGAGATGCTTAAAACAGGACACCTACCCACATCTCTGCCTTTCCTTAAGGAATATAATTCACTGGAAATCGCTCAATGCTTTGGACATGTTGAAATGGTTGACCTTTTTGGGACAGTTTCTCTCCAAGTCTCATTCCTCTTGTTCTTGACAGAGTTGGTAAAATGGGGAGTGGGAAGGGGATGGAATATTTTTCATTTGTCTCAGATGAAAACTTCTCACACAGCTGAAAGGAATATTCTCAGTCCCAGAAAAACCTAGGTTCTTGACCACTGGAGAGAAAAATAAACAATTATTTTTTTTTAATCAAGAAAAAAATGAATAATTTATCTTATTTATTAAAAACTAGAGCTTTGTTACTGAACTCCTTATGAATAACTAGTACTTAGAGAGGCATAAAGTGCTATCCAGCACGATGTAACACCGGTTGGTAGTAGCTTCCAATAAAAAAAGGTCCCCCCCTTACAACCTTCTTCCACTAATTTGTGGTTTAGATATTTCCTTATGTTAGTCAGCTTAGAAACCTCAATTAAGTTTTTTTTCATTAGTCTCCCCAACACCACCACAATTTTCACCTCAACAGCTTTGGCTTGTGGCCGTAACTGAGCAGAGAGGTGGACTTCCAGCGGTGAGAGGTGCTGAGAAGCTTACAGGACCTGTGTATATATAATTACAGCACTCTGGAGGTGTGGTGCAAAGGCCAAACACACCGTGACCTCTTCTTTGGAAACGCCCAGGAAGGCGGCCAAGGAGTGTGAGCTGCAGAAATCCTCCCCAGTCCCCTTTCTGTTCTGCTCTTGGGGATGATTTACCCCCGCACAGAAATGAGGACAGCTAGTTCTTTTAGTTTCAACCTACTTACTGTCTTGAGGGATTGCACCTGGATAGGAGAGGCTTGCCAGGCGGGGAAGAGTGGTGGTTATTAAATGTGCAGTGCAGCACTAACCCCTTCTGGCCTCCACATATTGAGGAGCTCCATGGTAAGAGGTTTCATAATGTGAACGGAGCGTATTGGCTGCATGTAAATAGAACCCTGAGTTGCTGCAGAGGGGATGAACATTCCCACTACAAGGAATTTATTAAGGGAGAGGGAGAGCTCTGGTGTGTATTAAAGCAGCAGGAGTGAAGCAATGTGGCACAAAAGGAATACAGGGAAGGTGCCAAGTACAAAAAAATGCAAAGGGTTGTAAGACGTAGTAATGAGAGGCACTGAGAAAAAGGGGGAGAAAGAGACAGCTAGAGAAGTGACAAATATGAAGTGAAACCTCTATGATACATAGAGTATGTAAGGGGAGACTGGTGAGATTATGTAAAGTAAAAGGTTTCTTCAACAGCTGAATTTATTAATCTGCACTTAGTCCCACTGCAGCACAAGAAAAGTCCAAAAAAAGTTCAGAGAGTCTTTATCAACTTGCACATGTAAAAATCCTCACAAACTAACCTATGCTTTGTATTTGCTGTGACGGATGCCAGACCTTTACACAGAAAGGTGTGCACAGCACAACACAAGCACCCCTGGTGGGATATTCGTGTTGGTCGCAGATAATGATTATTTCTCATAGGGCAGCAGTTCAGACAAAGGGAAGGCTGCTATACAGCGAAAAGGGCTGAACGTAAAACACTACTGCACTCTAACAAGCACGATAAGGATTTTTAGAGCCCTAATAACAGAGAGAGACTTTGGACTTTCCTGCCCAACTGGCAGCAACTGCCTTCCCAGGACATTTAGAGAGCTGCAGAGGGATTAATTATAAACACTTAGCTTGATTTGCAGCCATTGCAAAAACATCTGCAAGGTACCGACTGCCGCTCGCACGTACAGCGCTGCGCGAGAGCGTCCTGGAGCTTACGAAAAGACACGCTGGAGCCATGAATCAAACTCCGTCATGTGACGGAGGGGAGGTGCTGGGCTGGCTCCCAGCCAGTGGTAGGAGCTGATGGGTGGAACAAACGGGGCATAAAAAGACTAATATGACTAACGGATCCTGGATGCGTGGTACCTCTATTTGGATCTACAGGAATGTGGGCTCTAGCAGTTCTGCAGCTCTACCAGCCCTTTGCCTGACACTGGAACTGCTGCTCACAAAGTAGAATCCTGCTGCTCTGTGGTAGGAGGGATAGAGAAAGAACATGGCCTGCATTTTGAAGGTAAATCTCTATCTGTTGCTTGAATGCATTGTTAGAGAGCCCCTCGCTGCTCAGAGGCACGGATTCGGTGCGATCCTATTGCATCTTCGTTGTCTTTTTGAATACTGGCTTTGTTTGGCAAATGAATATGGAGAGATTCTGCAACTTACAGCTGTGCTCTGCTTCCCTCTGCCATTCTTTTCCTCTTTCCCTGCATTGTCAGAACTGTGAGCTAGTGGGAAGGGAAGTGTGTACTGAATAATAGGAGGGGGGAGAGGGGCTCTGGTTTATCTCAGCTGACTTTGTCTACGCTGAATTCCTTCAGGAACAATAGCCTTTGGGCAACAGACTTCCAGTACAAAGGGCAAAATGGGAAAGTTACTTTCTTTTTCTAACCTTGCAGCATTTACTGCTTTTAAAGCAAAGGTTGCAGATGTACACAGCTGTCCCAGTTGCTCCTTAAGCACACACTCCCCTGCTGAATCTACTCAAGATCCACATGCTCCACACAATCATACTCAATATTTACCTACGTTTTTCTAATCGAGCAGCCTATTTGATAGGGGGTTTCCCCCCTCCGTGCCAGCAAATATAAGCGTGAACTTACCGTGGGATCACACGCTTTCTCCAGCCTGCTTTTCCACACCGAGACAAAAGTATTTGCAACCCGCACGTCATGTACATGGAGGGAGCATCCCTAGCAGGGAGCGTTGAATGGAAGGGGAGGAGGCGGAAGTGCGGTCAGTTGGGAACACACGGCGCTTGTTCCCTTGCAGGGCTGTCACTTGCCGGGAGTCGCTCTCCTGTGCCCGGCTTGATCCATTCGCTGCCTGCCTTGCTGCTGCTCTCTGGGGATGTTTCGAGTACATTTGCGCTTTGTTTTGTTTTTTTGGTAAATGAAACTATCTGTGAGTTCCTTGTTATTTGCAATCTGATCTTTGGGTTATCCCAAACTTTGGGATGGCCTCTCACAGCAGTTGCCTTCAGCGTATCAACGAAGTGGGTTAAGCTGCAAAGCTTCAAAACGGTTTGCAGAGGATAAGTGTTCCTGTATCTCCATGAATCTAATCCTGAACAACTTCTTATTTTGCTGCACTGCTTTCCCCTTTTCATTCATTCATTCCCTACTAGTGGGTCAGTGGCACATGGATGTTTTTTGAGTTTTTTGTCTTGAGCATGTGTCTTGTGGCAGCTTATATTAATAAAAAAGGCAAAGTCTGCTGCAAGTGCAGAAACTTCTGTGAACTAGCGTGTTCTGCTTGGAGATAGATAGTAACAAACTCCTTTAATCAGACAGCAGTAATGTAACTTAGAGTTGTGACTTGGGATGAAGGTCTGTGAATGGAGCCTGGTTTCACAAAGATGAGTGTGTGCACTCCTTTTTAAACGCTCCCCAAATGACTTAGCTTGGATCTGCAAATAATCCAGAATTTCTAACTTTTTTTACTATGTGGAGAGATCATATGTAAAATCTTCCCTCTGGCTGTAACAGTTAAATAAGAATGTTCTTTTAAAAGAAAACTCCAGTGTCTCTTTTCCCCCCCTCCCAGTTGTTTCCTCTGCACAGTCTGGTGACACAGCCTGCCACAAACATGCCTTAGAGTTTGAATTATAATACAATAAACATCTTCATTTTACCCAGGCCTGAAGCTCCATTTGGGTTTTTCTGATGATTAAATCAATAGATTAATTGGTATTCCTTGACAGACAGCCCTCTTCCAGGTTAATTCTTAATCTTGTTAATGCAGGCAGGTGCAAGGATAAAAAGTGAAACAGATACGATGAGAAGATTAGCTTTGCCATAAGGCAGGCTGGATTTTCTCAGACAGGCATCCCATAGGAGTAATTTAAATGTCTAAGTTAAGATACTTAATAGCATTTAAGTTTTTAATGTAATGTCTACAGGTACTCCTCAAGCTTTTTCCCTAACAAGGAAATTCAGAATAATAAATATATTTTCTTGTTACACCAGGCTAATTCTTGCATGAAAACATGAACCTGTCAACAACACCCTCCTCCTTTCCCTTAGGTTTGTCCTGGCTCTCCCGTTTATTCCATCAGTAGTTTGTGTGGAAACAGGAAAAAAAAATCAAGAATAAATATCTATAGGTATAAATTTGAACTAGGTGTTGGCACATTGGATGGGAAGCCAGAACAACTGGGTGTCCTTGCCACTTCAGCCCTGAGTGTCTCTGTGACTCTGCCTCATGGCTTTCCCTCTTCTGTTCCTCGATTTTTAACCCCCTGCCAAAGATATTAAGACTGGTTGAATGTTGGAGTTCTGTGTGAATGAGAGTTTAGTGTAAATGAGATTGGATAGAGGTGTCTGTAAAGTGAGAAGTACAGAGGTGGCTCTTAAAAATTTACTGGAGTTACTTAGAGTGGTTAAGAGCATATTAGAAGAGGTGTGTGACCTTTAGATATCAAGATTTCCTTTTAGTGTGACCACTGCATGAAATGAAATAATCTGTGCAGCTTGTGCAGAAATGCCTGGGAGGTTGATTCTTCCTAGGGTACCTACTGTCCCTCTGGTGTTTGTTGTGCACTCTCCCTGCCTAAGATTGATGGAGCTGTCCCTGATCATGGCTCCAGAAACTTTGCTTCCTATTCAGAAATGGGACCTTCTTGGCAAAACCAGTGAAACTCTTCTTCTGAGGAATTCTCTGTTCTGTAAAAGAAAAGCAGAGAAAGAGGTGAAATAAAGACAAGACAAAATAAAATAAAAGTTTGGCTATGTTAGTAAATTTAGCTATGTTAGTGTGACTCTGCAAATTGTAACTACTTGAAAGAAGGTTGCTGCCTAAAATTGTGGACAATTAAGATAAAGCTAGCTTGCACAAACAAAAGGACTGTCAGGAAAGCGGGAAAGACTTTTAGCACTTAACATTGCAAGGGAGATAGAAGGAGGGGTGGGGAGAACCTAAGCTCTTTGAAATGATAAAACTTTATGTAACTACTCTATAATAGTAAGAATAGGAGGCAGGCAACCAAATGTCTATTTAGATAAGGCAGACTTCATAAAGAGTGTAGATAATTTTGAAACTCACTGTATAAAAAGCTGTTGTGTTTCTTTTCTCAGCGGACATGCATGGGGGGACAAAATCCCCTGCCATTTCCCCAGCCCTAATACAAGCCCTAATACAATATATATATATATATAGTTTAAGGATTTCTTTGAATCAGAGGCAAGTTCCAAAATGCCTGATGTGTTTTTTATTTTCTCTGTCATGAATTTAAAAAGCGTTGCAGAATAGCTGAGTGAAGTGTAGGCATTTCTTGGAAGCAAACAGTTGATCTTATGCTTGTTACTATGGTAGCTGCATGTCACCTTGCCAATTACTAGATTAGCAGTGATTACTAGTTATGCAGTCACTATTATCCCTAACGATATCAGTCCCTAAGTTCTGCTGTATCAGCCACTGACTCTTGAAAACGATGACAGATGTTACTCAGTAAATTACTTCAAACTCCACTTTTTGCATAATTGAAAAAATGATATTTCAAAGTACCTGTCATCTTACAAAAAACACAGCATGAATGATAATGGGATTCTGTAAAATGTTGATATCCCCCACTGAGGAATGGACCATGATGTTTTAAAGCAAATAGAACAGGTAACTTAGTTTGCACGTGCTGAACTTCGCAGGGCATTATGTCTTACTCTATTTCCAAAGTCTTCTTTTTAAAAGAAGATGATGGAGGTCGATTATGTTGTCATCATAGTACAATTTTTAACTGTGCAGGCTTAAAGTGGTAGAATATAATAAAAAAAACCCCAACATGTCCAGGGAGGACTAGTTTCCTTCTGGTTTATGTGCTGTGTACTTACTGTGCAGTGAACAACAGAGTTTTCATATGCCTGGAGGCTGGATGTGACCTTGTGCCAGCAGAGATCACAAGTGAGTTGAAACCTTCAGTGAAACTCTGTGGTCTAAATAGTATTTGTATAATGTGGTGCAATGTTCTTATTACTACAGCTGATTGAGAGTTCTCTCAAAGTAAGCAAGTGACCAGCTCAAATCCGCAGCTTCTTTAGTGATTTTTAAGTGTAATTTAAAGATTGAAAGAACTTTTTTGCAAAACATAACTTACAGGTTACAAATAAGCGAAACCCTTCAAGAACATGCTTGTAACTCTTTTCTGGAGGATGCTGTCAAAGTTGACCATGACTATGTGTTCATCTATGATCCTTTGGCTTGTTTCCTCTCCGTGGTTATCTCCACTGGTTTAATTAAAGTCACAGGTTGCATTTTCCCCTTAGCTCACATGGTGAACTGCTTTTGGCAGGAATTGTCTTCGAGAGTTTTCTCTGAGTGTTCAGTGGCCTATGTCTGATTGGGGTCTTCAGACACTGCAGTAATACAGATAACATTGCTATCTACAGGCATATGCTCCATCTGCACTTTTGAGACTAAAATAGCAAAGCTGATCTCATTACATTAAATTTTCCACCCTGGCAACTGGCTGTTCAAAGGGGAGAAGCAGAAGATCTGAAAGCATCTGATCCTGGTGTTTGGACACTTGTAATCCTGGATATTTAGTTATTAATTTGATTTGTACATTACAAAGATTGTAAATGTTTCCTTCCAAATTTCTACATCATCAAAAGCACATTCCCTGTTTCAGTGTGCTCTGTGTGCAGAGTAGGCAGTGAGTCTCAAACTCCATTCACTACCAGGGATTTGCAGGATGCAGACTCTTCCATGGAGATGACCTCTATATCCTGCTTGAATCAGGTCCAAGATAATTCACATTCTGCCTTGACTGTTAAATTGACTGCAGCAGTGTTTATGCATGGCATCCATCCGTTTTCCTGTGCTGAGAGTTGTACTTGGATCCTGTTTGATTCTCATGCTGTGCTTTGTCCTCTGACACGACAAGAGATGGAGAGATCCTAGGGAAGGGAACAAAGGTGACCTCCCCTCCCCGTGGGAGGATGCTGCTCTGGTGGTTCATTTCCCAGCACTGGCTGAATTTGCTGCAGGTTTGCTGTAAAGTGAGCTCTCTTCTGAGCCTGTCTTAACCTGACCATCAACAGTTTTGTGGGCTGCAGTGCTTCTGTTGTGACTGGAATCATTCCTAGGAGAATGTGGAATGTGGTTATATCTCTAGAGAGGGAAGGTGTAAATATGCAAAGGTGCCCCTTATGAGGTATTCACAAATGAGCTGGAAAGTAACAGGTGGATGCAATGAGGGGTTACAGAGAAGAAATGGGATTTCTGGTAGTAACCAGGTTTCTTGTGGATCACTCCATCCTTATGTGCTATGGGTAATTTTTCCCATTCTCCTCCCCCTCCCCAAACAGAACTGGCGAAACTCTATTTTTAATTCTTTCTAATGCTCCTTCTACACTGGATATTTCTATTTTAAATACCTTTTGTTGTTGTTGTTGTTGCTCTACATTGTTCACCTCTAAATTGCTCCAAAGTAAATGAAGCTGATTAATGAACCTGGCAATGTGCAGGGCTAGGATTTGCTGTATTGTGGTCCAGTGGTACTTAATTACTATGTAAGGTTTTATGGAGTGTGGTACATGGAATTTCGTCATGTGATTTTTTATTATGTTGGCTTCTTTAAAACTTAAGGAAAATTAAATTCTAAGAAGTGTAAAACCACTCTCGCTTGCAATGACCTTAAGCTAATTATACTTCAAGGATAATATATTAGCCCTCTCCCAGAAAGGGACAGCA